TGTCCCTGCCCATGGCAGGGGAGTTGGAACTAGGTGATCTTTAAGGTCCCTTCCAACTCAAACCATTCTATGATTCTCCAACAGCACGAGTTTGCCAGCCCATCTTTCTCTCTCCAATGGACAAGGACAGGAGTGATCCCTATTTCTAACAACTCTCAGCACTTTCTTGCTGTCATCCTCTTTCCTCCTCACTTTTCCAGGACTTTGCCTTCCCCCAGCCTTAGCACTCTTCATCTGCATACAAGACCTCTCCCCTCATCCCTGAGCAACCCTTTGGTTTGCTTCCCACTGCTATCCTGCTAGGACTCACCTACCCAGCCCACTCTATTTGCTCAGCATCTCATTCTCAAGCCATCTCACCTCTACTCAAGGCTTCCTTGAAATTTGCCTAAAGGCAGAGGAAACAGAGGCAGAAAAGCCCAGAACAGCACAACAGGCAGGTTCTGGCAACAGCCCAGAACAGCAAAAATGTCACAGTGGGGCAGGAGCATTGCTTTCTGGGCCCAGCGTGCCCTCCTTTGAGCACACAAGTTAATGAAACAAAAAGGAAACTATGCATCTCGCGCGTGAACCATGTGCAATTAAGTGAAAAGCACAGAGTGATTGTCAGAAATACATGCTTCTGCCAGTAGAAAATCATACAGCCATTTAGGAGAAGTTCATATACAGACACAAACACTATGAAAACATCTCAGATTTTTCCATAAACACAAATGTGACTAATTGTGACATTACAACATAGCATTTCCCTTCATTATTTTTCTGCTTTCTTACCCATTTCCATTTTATACCTTATATAAATCTGGACAACTGTAGTACTTTCAAAGTGTACATTTTAACTGCAGATATGAAAACTGTTACTATTGCCTCAAACTGTTTAGACTGCTTGTCTCTGTGTATTCCTTTTATAGAAAGAATAAAAATGTTTACCTCTGCTTGAAATGGTTCTTTCTCACTCCCCACTGAAGACTGGCCAGCTCTAGGGTAGAGCAGCAGCAGCTTAACTACGCACAGTAACCCCATAAAGCAATTTAGGGCTTACTGTGAGGTTTCCTGGAGAGAATTCAGCTTTATTTTTCTTTTACTGTATGTCACTCCCTGCAGCATGGTGATCTGTAACATCATGCTGGAGATTAGTTTTAAACACTGCCTGGGATGAAATAATCAGCTACCTGCTGACACAGCAGCTCTTGCCCCAAACTTGATTTTATTTGGCAATATCCCTATTGAATACAGGTGAGGCCTCAGGTGGTGAACCTTGTGAAAGAGGCCAGGTCTTAGCCACATGGACCAAACACCAACATGATCAGGAGGAGAAAATCTAGCTTCATGTTTTGTGAACTATCTAGGACCAAAGAATGGTGTAAGTCATAAATATGAAAGGATGCAAGAAAGTATAAAACATTCTTCTGTAAGCTATGTCCTAGACACTAACCAGTAAGCATCAGCATGTGTTTTAAGACGCTAATGTGTCATGTCAGCATGTGTCACAATTTAACTCCTGGACAGATACATAGCGAGTGGACATGGCCATTTGCTGACCCATACAACAAACTCCTTTTTGTGCCTGAAAAACAGCTTCTAGAAAACTCCTCCTCAGCCTCAAAATCTTCCTTGTTAGCACCTTCTCTATGCCCAAAGGATGCACATAAAAATCACCGACTTACAGAAATAAAGTGATAATTTATTTGCTGGTGAGAGTCTTAAGCCACAAAAACTGTGTAGTTGAATAGAAAATGTCATTTCATCTCCGATTTTCAGAGTACAAGTGCCAACAGCATTTCAGAAACTAAACTCAAGTCATCACGAAACATTTGAAGGAGCAGCCAAGCAGGCCCTAGCAGCCAGGGCTTTTATGCACTCTAACCAAAATAAAACTCAAACAGCATTAAGGTAATTAAAGGATGAATACAGCCACCGCCCTAGGCAGTGGTAGTAAAGCAGATGGGCTACAATACTATGGTTTCAGGGTAAATACAAGAAGCTGATCGCTGGCTGTGGCAGCACCCAGCAGCGCTGGAAGTGCTTTGCAGAAGCCCCCGCGCAGCAGGCAGCACCAGGAGAGGACGGCGATGGCAGGCAGCTCCCGGAGATGGGGCAGCAGAGAATGGCCAAAATATTGCTGTCTATTGCGTGCGTACTGAAGAAGGAAGGGCACACGCTGAAGGTCCTTTGTCACTCCTAGACAAGACTTTGTGATCCACATTTTTTTTTCCACCAAGCCTCTCTCCACCCCTCTGCTATGCCTCTGCTATCAGCAGTCAGAAAGTTAAATGACGATCTGTAACGGGGTGGCAGGCAGAGCCTTGATGCAAAGAGCAAGAAGGGCCGTGTGTGGCTACCTGCCCATCGCAGGAGGTCCTGTGGAAGCCAACCCACCCTCCCTGGCAAGCAGAGTATCACTGTCATGGTTTAACCCAGCCAGCAGCTAAAACCACACACGCTGCCCTCAAAGGCTGCAGAGAAGTTCATTTCAGCTGGGGCTTGGTAAACAAGAAAAAAAGCCGTGGTCAATATTTCTTGCCTTGTTTTCTTAGAAACAAACACTTCTTCAGCATTCTGTTCCTCCACATGATTATAAAAAGGGAAATGATCCTCTGGCTCAGTCTTGTCCTGCCTTTGCCTTTCCATAACACAGGGGTAACAAATTATTTCTGACCAAAACAACTCACACGGGCTCACACCATGCTTTTTAAAAGATCTCAGGCAACTTCTTGGTATATTCCCTTTCTCTTATGTAAAAGCTATTATCTTGTTATTTTACAAAAAACGTTGGGGTTTAAAAGTGACTGAATAAATAATGTTAATCCAACAGTAATGTTGCTGCATTAGTCCCTAAAAACAGAGACATTAATGACAAGAACCTGATGGCACACATAGCCTGGGCCCACGTGGAAAACATGCAGGGTTTCACAACTAGGGCATGGCAGAATTTCTTTTGTTTATGGGAAGATACCTGCAGGGCTGAGAACACCTCAGGCAGTGAGTGCCACATCTTCTCCCAATTCCCCAATATACTGTATGACACTCAGCAACAATGACTGATACATCTAGACTGTTATTGAGACTTTGATGCTACTTTAATGTTATCCTTGGCACATGATTTCCTTTGACTTAAGAAAAAAAGCTTTGAAAACTTTTAGACATGTCAAGGCTCTTCCTCAGGCAGGCAAACACCATTACTGTAAGAAGCTTCAGTGCAAAAGCTTCCAGACAAGCCATCTATTTTCTCCACCTTCTCCCAGTGGAGAAAAGATACCGGACAGGCGTCCACTTTAACTCGCAGGCAGACGCGACGGCTCAGCACACGTCCCAGCTGCGGGTGGACAGCTAACCCTCCCAGGGGATGGTTCCCAGCTCCGAGCCCGCTGTGCTGCCGACACAACCAGTTGCAAGCTGGAGTGGGGTAGCTGTTCAGCGTTAAAGTAAAGGCCAGTCTGACCACAGAGACAAATGGCCTGTAGTTGGAAAGAGGAGCTATTGCCGGGGGACGGCAACTCACGGGTAGAGGTTACAGGTCGCCCACTTAACCCCACCTGACTGCAGGCCAGCACTGGAGAAGCTGGCGCACAAGCAAGTCCCTCCACTACCAAAGCCATCCATCAGCAGGGATGTGCCCAAGCCTGTGGGCAGAAGACAGAGTCACCAGCGACAATTCTCCTTACACAAAGTTTTGCTCCGTTCCCTTGACCTTTGGTGCAGGTAGCTATACTCCTTAATGCCCATAAAACCCCATGCACCTTGGCAGTTTTAGACTTTGGAAGTTAAACTGTATTTGACTTGTTTAAACAAGAAAACAAAAAACCCCAGATCAGTGTATTTTCTTCACATTTTCCAAAGGCATTCCCATCTGGGAGGGGAACAAGAGTAGAATACAATCTAAGGGAAAGAAACAAACCAGTGAGAACAGGCACCGATAACGAAAGCGTCCTTTTGGCTGCAGGACAGCACCACATCACATGCACTGTGCCCCAGGAATTTTTAGTGGGACAAAACTTAATCTTCTCTGCTCTTTCATCCTCACATGTTTTTGCTTATACCACCCCAAACAAGTACAATTAGGTTTCTAATTATTATTGGAATTTTAAAAATGATTAAGAGAAAGGTAGTGTGAACCATGCCCCAGAAAGCTACAAGGGCTGCTGCCATTTCCCTGATGCGACCAAGGGGAAAACAAGAAAGCACTCTCAGCAAAAGGGCTTAAAGAAGGGCATGCTCCGAATAATTGCATCAGTCATGAGGGGGAGAGAAAAAAAGATCACACTGCCATCCTGGTTTCTACAACGGTCTGATCTGGCAACAATAAATTCTGTGGGAACGCTTCTACTGGGGTTGAAAGAGAGACCCACCAAAAACAGCTAGAGTTCAATGCCTTTTATTAGCAGGTCTGTTACTGCCTCTTTACAAATGATGGGAAAATTTTAATGAGTGTTATTTTGCCTATCACAGGCACTGCTGCTGTTAAATGAACTCATCTTCTAAGTGATCAGACTAGGTTGCAAATGATCTGTTTCTAGATTTTATTTAACCAAAGCAAGGAAAGCAAGTACTCATTCTTACTTCTCTTTGCCAGATAAATAACAGCATGTGACTACACAAATATTGACAAATAATTTTTTTTAAAATCCTTTATAACAAAAAAACCCAATTTTTAAAATTTTTAATTTTAAGCTGGAATTTTCACATGTGCAATGATAATAAGCAAAACACAGCTGTCCTCTTTTTCTTCACCGTAGTTTAATGGAGGGGTGGGAAATACTCCTCCCATGAAAGCACAGTTAGTTTACTGTTTATGAAATGTTTCAAAACCTCTAAAATTATTTCTTAGTGCTGCTGCAAGTAAAAAATTTAGACCTCAAAAGATGACAAGTGCCACCTTGTGGGCATTTAACAAAGAAGTTAACGTTGCTTTCCATTTCTTGGGGGGGGGGGGGATCTCAGCCACAAGACCACTCGTTTCTGGGGGGGGGGGGGTATCTCAGCCTACAGACAACAGGCTGCAACCAGTTTTCAGCATTTCTGGGAACACCATCTTCACTTCCCAAGACGACAGACATGATGGGGATCACTACCCGACATGGCTCTGCGGGTTAGCTGTAGCTACAGCAGTCAGCCCACCAGCCGTCTATACCCCTCTGATTTATCTCGCTATAGGAGTTATGAGAGCACTACAGACTCAGGTATCCCGAAATGTCTGGTTTACACCGTAAACAACTTCCAACTGAAAATGCCGTCAAAATCAAATATGTCTCTTAAATTTATCTATTTCAAAGTAAAACAGCCTGTCGATTTTTTTTTTTTTAACTCATTGTGACAAAACTGACTGACTGGCTGCTGCCCCGAAGTGCTGGATCAATGAGTGAGACAGCTTCCCATCCTCCCTAAGGGTTATTTGAAAGGTCTTTTGCAAACTAATTTTGCAAGTTCAAACCTGACAGAAATAGGCCTTTGTTGGATTAATTGCTTTTTTAGATTTGACAGATAATTTGTCCAAGTATCTTATGTATCAGTAAAGTCTTGGAGCAATTCAGAGTAATATCAGGTAACACAAGCTTGAACACTGTAATCAAACTTCCCTGATTTAAATCCAGACTGGTTTTCACTGGAGACACCGTTTCGATGACTGTCAGTGAAGTTTGCTTGGAAGCCAGGAGAAATACCTGTCAAGGCTATTGCTCTTACACTGCCCTCGTTCCAACCATGGCAAGGGATAATGTAGGAGAAAACATTTACCTTTCGACATTTCCTTCCTATTTTTTGTTTCCACAAATCCTTCTTTGTCTCCTATTTTAAAAGTCTGCCTGCACAGAGACCGAGCTCATTTCCCATCGCTTGTTCTACTTCTTCCAAACATTAATAATATTAACAAGGGCACATCGGTTTTACTGTAATTTCCAGCCTGTGACTACTGTTACAGCCACAGCCTCAAGGCATTCACAAAAATACGTTTTTGTCTTGATTTCTCTAACATATCCAACAGGGAATATTGACTGGAGCTTGATTACACAAATATTCTGAGCAGCCACCCTGACAGTGAAAAAGAACAACATGATATGGTATAAAAAGTGTCTTCTAGTTGTAAATTAATCCCCTCCCCTGAATAAGAAGTCTGTTCAGTCAAGGCTGAGTAGAAGAGACCCTAAATAAAGGATGAGCTTTCAGGCACTTTTGAAATACAACCCCTCCATCCATTGCATAATGCCTTAATTTGCTGAATAGGGAGGCATGTTTTATCACCGTTCACTTGGTTGCTTTGAATTATTTTTCTTTTTCTACACCCAGCACTGAGATAATGAACATACATTCACTTTCCTGCCCTAAACTCACTTTTAAATAGAGTGTTGTGGTTTTACCAAAAGCTGAACACAACAAAAGAGCACAACACTGACCCTGCCTCCCTATCCATTGGTAAAAATCTGCTGAGAACTTGTCCTCCCTTGCATTTCAGACCAAGATAGCTGCTGTGCATTCATGAGCCTCCTGGGGGAAAAAGCCAAACAAACCAAACCCACCCATTAGCTGCCCAGGCAAAAATCAGAGTCACCTGGAGAAAATTAAGAGCAGATCTGATTTCTGACTGCTGTTATAACTGGCCTCAAGACAGACTCCAAAGCACGTCTCTCTCTTTAACTGTGTCAGATGGCCAAATAGATGCTGTTGCCTCTCCTTCCCCAAACCTGACCCATTTAAATTCTTAGACCATCAGAATTATAACAACCCTATTACGATTCTTATTACAAACAGATTTTTCATTTTCTAAAACAGTCGTCAATAACACAGGCCATTGCTCATGCAAAAATATGGCTTGTATTTACGTCTTTATTTCCAGAACAGATGCAATACATCAACACTCGTGGTTGGAAGGAGGAGGACAGACTACCAAGTAAAGTACCCTTGCCTGGAACCAGGATCGTTTTTTATAGCGTCATGAAGGAAACTCCTAAAAACATTATTGGCAGGGTCAGAGAAAGGGAAATGGACACAATGTGGTGGGATGCGTTTTCTTGAATTGGAATTAAGTTTTTACTCCAAAAGTCATTCTCCAGCTGCTGTGAGCTTTTTCCCCAATCTGAAAGCTGCAAGTGTCATTCCTTACCTCTTCCTGTTCTCATATAAAACCTCCAAGAGGCCTCTAATGGCACAAAGTAGGATGCTCCAGGCAGAAAAGCTGAAACCTTCACATTCCTTTTTGGCAATTCCATGGCTAACTATTATATCTGCAGTCAAAGAACCATGGCAAAAGATATTTACCCACCAGCCTCTCCCTGTTTATAGCATTAAATCCATCTTTTTCATAACTCTTTTCGTCCTCAGCAGGTTCATCTGCTGCACTAGGCAAGAACCAGAGGAAAGAGAGAGAGCAGGCGTGAAGTCCAGTCCATGGAGAAGCTGTGCTCCAGGTCCACTCCTGCACCACCCAATGTTGTGGAGCTGGAGCAACAGCCAAACGATCATCCTAAGGGTGATTTAGCAGCTCAGCAAGCACTGAGAGGTTTTCTGCATGCGCCCCCCCATTTGTCCTCAGCTCCCTCCGCATTTGGGAGGATGAAAGCAGAGCAGAGGAGCTGGGAACAGGCTGCTGGAAGGAAAGCTGAACACAAAGGTTT